TGGAAACAAGCCACAACACAACGGAAACGAGCCGCAACACAATGAAATTAGCACAACATAATGGAAACAAGCCACAACATAATGGAAACAAGCCGCAACACAACGAAAACGAGCCACAACACAATGGAAACAAGTCACAACACAACGGAAACAAGCTGCAACACAATGAAATTAGCACAACATGGAAACAAGCCACAACACAACGGAAACGAGCCGCAACACAATGAAATTAGCACAACATGGAAACAAGCCACAACACAACGGAAACGAGCCGCAACACAATGAAATTAGCACAACATGGAAACAAGCCACAACACAACGGAAACGAGCCGCAACACAATGAAATTAGCACAACATGGAAACAAGCCACAACACAACGGAAACGAGCCGCAACACAATGAAATTAGCACAACATGGAAACAAGCCACAACACAACGGAAACGAGCCGCAACACAATGAAATTAGCACAACATGGAAACAAGCCACAACACAACGGAAACGAGCCGCAACACAATGAAATTAGCACAACATGGAAACAAGCCACAACACAACGGAAACGAGCCGCAACACAATGAAATTAGCACAACATGGAAACAAGCCACAACACAACGGAAACGAGCCGCAACACAATGAAATTAGCACAACATGGAAACAAGCCACAACACAACGGAAACGAGCCGCAACACAATGAAATTAGCACAACATGGAAACAAGCCACAACACAACGGAAACGAGCCGCAACACAATGAAATTAGCACAACATGGAAACAAGCCACAACACAACGGAAACGAGCCGCAACACAATGAAATTAGCACAACATGGAAACAAGCCACAACACAACGGAAACGAGCCGCAACACAATGAAATTAGCACAACATGGAAACAAGCCACAACACAACGGAAACGAGCCGCAACACAATGAAATTAGCACAACATGGAAACAAGCCACAACACAACGGAAACGAGCCGCAACACAATGAAATTAGCACAACATGGAAACAAGCCACAACACAACGGAAACGAGCCGCAACACAATGAAATTAGCACAACATGGAAACAAGCCACAACACAACGGAAACGAGCCGCAACACAATGAAATTAGCACAACATGGAAACAAGCCACAACACAACGGAAACGAGCCGCAACACAATGAAATTAGCACAACATGGAAACAAGCCACAACACAACGGAAACGAGCCGCAACACAATGAAATTAGCACAACATGGAAACAAGCCACAACACAACGGAAACGAGCCGCAACACAATGAAATTAGCACAACATGGAAACAAGCCACAACACAACGGAAACGAGCCGCAACACAATGAAATTAGCACAACATGGAAACAAGCCACAACACAACGGAAACGAGCCGCAACACAATGAAATTAGCACAACATGGAAACAAGCCACAACACAACGGAAACGAGCCGCAACACAATGAAATTAGCACAACATGGAAACAAGCCACAACACAACGGAAACGAGCCGCAACACAATGAAATTAGCACAACATGGAAACAAGCCACAACACAACGGAAACGAGCCGCAACACAATGAAATTAGCACAACATGGAAACAAGCCACAACACAATGGAAACAAGTCACAACACAACGAAAACAAGCCACAAAACAACGAAATTAACACAACACAATGGAAATAAGTTGCAACACAACAAAAACAAGGGGAAAAAGCCGCAACACAATAGAAACAAGCCACAACACAATGGAAACAAGTCGCAACACAAATAAATGAGCACAACACAATAGAAACAAGCCACAACACAACAGAAACAAGTCACAATACAGCAAAATTAGCACAATAATGAAATTAGTCCTATGCATTGTGCTGTGGTAATTTCGTTGTGTTGTTGAGATTTAGTTTTGCACTACTGGGTCACTGTACAAAACACCTCAGTACAGGAAATGACATAACCGTTTAAATATATATGAATATCATTTGTACTTGTCAGGTTTCACAGTAGGTATATTGCTGCTTATTTAAAATACTACTAAAGTGAATAATCTCTTCTGCTCTCTTACAGAAATGGTTCATTCTCAGAGCAGCCCTGCGTTAAACTCATCAGCATGCACCAAAGTCCTGTACTTCACTGACCGCTCACTCACGCCATTCATGGTCAACATCCCCAAGAGGTCAGTCAGACTCTTGGGTATTACACATATATGTGGCTTGAGTGGATCTTTAGCCTTAAATCAATATAATGTAGTATGCTTTACATATGTGACCTTGGACCACAACAGTTTTTTAGGATAGAATAATATTTGGCTGAGATATTTGGCTGAGGGTGTCAAAAATATCGAAATATTGAAAAAATTGCCTTTAAAATTGTCCAAATTAAGACCTTAACAATGCATATTACTAATCAAAAATTAGATTTTGATATATTTACGGTGGGAAATTTACAAAATATCTTCATGGATCTTTACTTAATATCCTAATGGTACAAATATACCCATACGACTTATGACTGTTTTTGTGGTCCAGGGTCACATATGTGCTATGAGATTTTTCATTGTCTTATGTCAACAGGCTTGGGGAGGTCACCCTGCGAGACTTCAAGGCTGCTGTTGATCGGGAAGGCAATTATCGGTACCATTTTAAAGCACTGGATCCAGAGTTTGGCACTGTGAAGGAAGAGGTATTGCCACATAATCAGTCAACAGGATATTTTCTCATTACATTCAAGCATCTAAATCAGTGGTTTTCAACCAGAAGGCCAGGGCCCATTAGGGGGGGCTTTCAATTATGAATGGGGTCTTTAAATATTTTTTTGAACAGTGGGGACTTTTAAAGGGATAGTTCACCCAAAAATGAAAATTCTGTCATTAATTACTCACCCTCGTGTCGTTCCAAACCCGTAAGAACTTCGTTCATCTTCAGAACACAAATGAAGATATTTTGGATGAAATCTGAGAGCTTTCTGACCCTGCCTAGAAAGTAGGGATGCACCGATACCGATACTGAGCTCCTGTACTCATACTCGTTAAAATGCCCCGATACCAAACGCCGATACCACACAGCATGTGATAAGTGCCATATTCAGACAAAGAAACACCGACAACAGACAGCAGAATGGAGTTATTTCTAAACTATAACGAATAAACTGTGATAATGTGAGAAATGTTGTGTCTGAATAAGTTTTGGTTTGACTGTATCATTTGATAAATGAAGTTAACCAACTAACATTATACATACTCTTTTGGTTTCTGTACCCAATATTTTAAAAATTTACAAATGCAATGAAAATATTGGTATCAGTACTCGGTATCGGCAAGTACCAAAAATAAAAGTATCTGTATCGGGCGAGTACTGGAAAAAGTGGTATTGGTGCATCCCTACTAGAAAGCAAAGAAAATGCCATGTTCAAGGTCCGATGTAGTACTCTTGTGAACGCGCATCGAAGACTGACACGGAAGAGAAGAAATTGTTGAATAAAGTCGTTATTTTTGTTTGCTTTACGCAAAAAAAAAATTCTTGTAGCGTTATATAATTAAGGTTGAACCCCTGATTTCACATGAACTATTTTAACAATGTCCTTACTACCTTTCTGGGCCTTGAACGTGGAAGTTGCGTTGCTGTGTATGCAGGGTCAGAAAGCCCTCGGATGTCATCAAAAATATCATAATTTGTGTTCCGAAGATGAACGAAGTTTCTTACGGATTTGGAACATGAGTGACAGAATTTTCTTCTTTTTTTTTTATTTAAATCAAAATAAAATGTTGCATATAATGTATTAAAAGGACCCATGGCTTCTCCCAGGTGTTCCAGGATGACGCAGTGGTGCCCGGCTGGGAAGGGAAGATCGTGGCCTGGGTAGAAGAGGATCATGGGCAAAGAGGGTACTGCACGCATCTATACAGCTGGTACCACATCTGTTTCTCACCATTTTAAGCTCACTCTCTATTTTCCTCGACAGGACCTAACACAAGTCAGCAAGAAGCTGTCTAAGGAAATGGAGACGTCTGTGCCAAAATGAAATAACATTGATTTGTAACTCAAGTGTACAGAGGATGGAGCTTTAGTGCCCCTTTACTCTATCCTGCATGAGCTGAACAGCAGAATGAACCTGAAAGGACGTGGAGGATCATCGTAAGGAGCACCAGATGGAGAAAGTCCCATCTTGCGTCCTGTCCAGACCAGTATTACTCAAACATAACTATACAGAGGATGGGAGGACAGGATTTCTGATCTCTTTTAGAGGTCTTGCCATAGAACAGACACCCATTCAAATGCTTTACTAGCAGACAAACTCTTCACTGTGACGGAGGAGCCTTTTGTTCAGTTCACCTACTTTAAAGTAGGTTCTGCCAGAGTACTTTTTTGTTTATTTCGATGAACCAAAATTGAATTTTTTTTGCTGTGAATAGAGAGAAGTAGGTAATCTTGACTGTCAAGAGTACTTGTGTGAATGTGGTTATGAATCTTAAGAAAGCAGCAGTAAAAGTATGCAAGTATAGAGCAGAAAGGAGTTTGACATCTGCTGTTACCTTGCTGTGAGATTTTTTTTATCTTAGATAAAGAGTTTCCCTAAAACATACGTTAGACACATTCTTTATGAAATTCTGCAAAAAAGACTAAATCTTCTCCAAGGACCAAAGTGTTTTGCTTGTTTGATATAAGATGTAATGTCAAGTCTTTTTTAAGAGATTATGATTTTTTTTTTTTTGTATGCATGTCTTCTAAGAGTCTGCACTGAAGATTTGACTGTATGGTATAAATGTGGTGAAATTACAGCTCATGATTTTGACCATAGCACAACATAAAATGTAGTACAGATACATTGCATTATCACTGCAGGCTTTCAAATGTAATTATCTATCTTTCAAATGTTAACTATCAGATGTGCCGTTCCGCTGCACTGATTTGAGTTTACAGGAAAGTGCCTGGAATCTGCTAAGAAAGAGAGGTGGTCGGGGTTTGCCTTTTGTATTTTTGTTCTGTTTTTTATTTATGTAAATATGTTAATATTTCAGAGATAGAGCGAGGCTTAGTGTCTTTACACTGTATAAATGATGTCCTATAAATACCGAATAATATTTTAAAGATGAAAATGTCCTCTTTGTATCCAAAAAAGGCACATAATCACTCTCATCAGAGAAGCCTGTAGCTAACAAGAACCGTATTGATGGTGATACAAGCGACTGTGTGCTATGACTGAAATTCTGCTTTTACACTCCTGATTACTGCTGGTTTAAGAAGAATGTTATTTGGTTTGCAAATAAACAGTTTGAAGCAGTATACACTATGTGTGTGTGTTTTTGTTAAATAAACTTTATTAAATGTATTATTATCATTTAAGTATTTTGCATCATTTAAAAAAGTTACACGGATCCTTAGGGGACAACAAGTTAAAAAAAAAAACTCAAAAAATATATTTATTTTTTTTATTTTGTATTTAATGCATTTTTAGATGAAAAATGTTTGCTCCCAAACATACTATTGGCAAGTGGGCGGTTCTGTGAAGACATGTTTTTGTTTTTTTTTCTAAGGTATGCATTGGTGAATTATTGGAATGTAAGGACTGTTTATCTAATGAAGCAAGAACGATTTTTCCTGTTATGATTTATTGTTATTTCTACAGATTGCCTAGTTTGTCTGTAACAAAGTTGACAAATATTACTATAAATAAATCAGTTTTTTTAATTAAAAGTAAAAAAGGAAGTAATTAGTGTTTGACAAGCACAGAATTATAAAAATGGAATATGTTTTCAATATGATACTAGAAAGAATTTTTGTTAGTGAACTTTTTTCTTAACTTTTTGAAATGCCAAATGTATCTCCAATTATAAAATCACCCCTTTACATTCAATTTAGCAACAACAAAAAATAAACAAAAAAATCATCATTTCATTGGACCATTATTTAATTATTTAAATAAAATATAACTATAAATGTTAATAAAAACTGACCAATCCTGCTACCCCATGATCTCTTCGAGTGTAGAATGTAAAAAAATATCAATCACTTCAAATGTTAGCGGTCAATAAATGTTTCTCGCCGCTCCAGGTCGTTAGATGGCGCTGATTCACTTACTCAGCAACGCTCACTGCCAGCAAAACATCTCGCCAAGTAAACATTCACGTGTTGTTACGCACTAGCTAGTCAACGAAACAGAGTGAAAATGCGGGATAAAAAGGATAAAGAGAAGACACAGATAACCGATGATCCTGTGAAGAATTTTGACAAATGGAAAAGGAAATACAACAAAACAAAGAAACGAGTCAAACTAGTTCAAAAGACCACCAAGAAACGCGACTGGGAGGTGGAGAGAGGAAACATACAGAAGCTGGTGAATAAATACTCGGAGGTGAGATATCATGAGGCTGATATTGCAAAGCATTTCTGACTTCTCGTACAGTACTTGTTTCTAGGGATTGCCACGTGTTTACCTACCTGTTACGCAGCTGTTGTGGCATCTGGCTTGACAGATCAGTCTTTTGACATTTAAAAGCAATGTTTACAAGTACTAGTCCTTTGGATGTTGTGCTTGAAGTGTTGCTGATGGTTGTTTGTCAGCACAGGTCTTCACATAAACATGATACTGTTTTATTGGTGGTCAGTGTTTTTTAGTCCTGGGACAGAACAGGCCACTTAACAGACATAAAAGTTAACATATCAAGGTTTTTTCAGCATGTCAAGTATTCAGACGTGTTGCACTGTTCTGCATCTTCTATTTTATGTGGTGTTGTTGTTGAGATTTATAATAGTCCTGATATCCTTCGTCAGACACCTAATCCATCTTAAAACATGCCACTGTGAAGGTTTTGACACGAGTAACTGTTTTCCTATAGATCAAGCCCAAAGAGGCTGTGAAGTTCTCTGATTTTCCACTCTCAAAAAAGACTCTGAAAGGTGAGCAAACTTGATTATTTGCATGTTAATAAGTTCACATATGTCTTCTTAATCTTAATGATGCTCTTGATCATGCCATCAGGTCTTCTTGAGGCTCAGTACAGGCAGCCCACAGAGATTCAGAGGCAGACGATTGGCTTTGCTTTGCAAGGGAGAGATGTTCTTGGTGCTGCAAAGACTGGCTCTGGAAAGACTTTGGCCTTCCTCATCCCGGTAAGCAATAGAGCAGTGGTGACGTATGTTTGTAGGCCAACTTGGAAATTAGCATCACCCTGGTTCTCTTGACAAAAACCCAACAGTTATGGGTTAGAATTAATTTATTCTACATTTATTTGATCAAAAATATAGTAAAAAATCAATATTGTGAAATTTTATAAAATATTTTGAATAAAAAACCCATAGAAACCCCAATGAATTCAGGATAATGGAACTGAAAGTGCAATGACAAGATTGTATTTTTTTTTTTGTTCTATTTTATATTTATGTCAATATGTAATATTTACAATATAATATATATTATGATTAGAGGCCGACCGATATGGGTTTTTTGGGGGCCGATAACGATATTAGGGAGTAAAAAAGTCCGATACCGATATATCGGCCGATAATATCAGCTAAACAATATATCGGTCGGGCTCTAATTATGATATTGAGTATGTTATATTTATGTAAATATGTAATAAACCTTTTAGAGCAACATAGGGGTGAGTAAATGATGACAGACTTGATGACACTCTTTTACTTTAAAATATTTAATCTGCAGTGTTTTTTCAAATTCAAACATAATTATCGAAGCCTCTCTAATGCACTGTGACTGTGTCCAGGTTTTGGAGTGCTTGTACCGTGAACAGTGGACTTCGATGGATGGCCTCGGCGCTCTCATCATCTCTCCCACCCGAGAGCTGGCCTATCAGACCTTTGAGGTGTTGAGGAAGGTCGGCAAGAACCATGAATTTTCTGCTGGTCTTGTAATTGGCGGAAAGGTGTGTCTCTCTTGTCTTTAGTGATTAGTATGGTTCTTGCGTATTTTTTGTCAAGGTTTTTATTGTGTAATAATTGGTTATTCTTTTTCAATGACTGCAGGATCTGAAAGATGAATCAGAAAAAATCCATCGGACCAATATCATTATCTGCACCCCAGGACGTCTGCTGCAGCACATGGACGAGACGGCCACCTTTCATGCTTCAGATCTGCACATGCTTGGTAAGGTGATGCTTAGAAAGAGTTTTTAATACACTGCTGTTCAAAAGTTTGGGGTTAGTAAGATTTTTATTTTGATCAAAGCATTTATTTGATCATTACTCTTGTCTTCAGTGTCGCATGATCCTTCAGAGATCATTTTAATTGGCTGATTTGGTGCTCAAGATACATTTCTTATTATCAGCGTTGAAAACCGTATTGCTGCTTTTTATTTTTGTGGAAATCGCGGTACATTTTTGTCAGAATTCATCAATTTGTAGAATCTTGTTGACCCCAAACTTTATACACCAAACTGGTGTTTACATGTGTGCAGTTCTTATTGTCAGCCCCTTACTTTAAAGGTGACATATTATGCCCCTTTTTACAATATGTAATATAAGTCTCTGGTGTCCCCAGAATGTGTTTGTGAAGTTTCAGCTCAAAATACTCCACAGATCATTTATTATATAATTTTGAAAATGCCTATTTTGAGTGGAAGCAGAAACATGCTGTTTTTCGGGCCTGTGTCTTTAAATGCAAATGAGCTGCTGCTCCCCGCCCCCTTTTCCAGAATAGAGCTGCGCCTTTACAGCTCGTATATGCTAAAAACATCTGTTTTGGTTCTGATTATCATGTTTATCGCGCTGAAATCATGCGTTTTAAACCATATGAGTTTAAACTTCTGATATACGGTTTTCTGAGAGCACACATCCGAAGCACACGGAGAGAAAGCTGCTGTCACAGCATGTGGGTACCAAGTTTAAGTTAAAAACACACGAGTTACAAAAACAGTGGGTTATGTCTGTGAAGGTAAAAGCTGGGAAATAAATCGCC